CATGCGTGTAGACAAACAGGGAGGTATCAGTCTTGCAGCCCTGAAAACCAATATGACGTAAAAAACCAGCAACCCGTTGATACCAAGAGCGAGGTGCCTGTTTTAAGCCGTAGAGAGCCTTCTTTAGTTTGCAAACATGGTGGGGCCGGGATGGATCCTTGAACCCAGAAGGCTGACTGGCATAGACAGTTTCTTGAAGGTGGCCATGGAGGAAAGCATTCTTAACATCCAGCTGATGTATGGGCCAGCCCCGAGAGAGGGCCAAACTGAGGACAATCCGGATGGTGGCTGGTTTAATGACCGTACAAAACGTTTCGCTATAGTCGATGCCGAAACTGAGGAAAGCATTCTTAACATCCAGCTGATGTATTATCTTACATGACAATTTTTAAATGATATAGCACATGAATAAATTACATGGCTTGCTTTAAATGATCATTCATCATTTATGAAAATTTATTTATAATAACCTTTAAAATATGATGAGTTTAAAACAATATATTTTATATTGAAAAATTATGGACTTTTTAATTTATTAAAAATTATGTCAATGAAATAAATGTAATTTTTCAGCAAAAATTAATCATAAAAAAACTAATCATGATTAGTCCGGGTCTTTTTTCATATAAACAAAAATCATATTAAAAGTCTTTTGAGTAAAATATAGTTTTTTAAAAATTATTAATTTATTCTTTTGTATGAAAATTTATTAAGCTAAAATATACTTTGGAGTAGCTCATCTTATACCACTAATTAAAGATGAAAAGTTTATTAAATTAATTTAGTGCATTATGGATTTATGTATATTAGATAATTTTTAATATGAAAACTTTGTGGTTTAATGTATTCAATAACTTTTTTAATAAGTAAATTTTCTTTAATTATATAATAGGGAGTATAAAAAATTTATGAAGATTTAAATTTTGTTTGAGATTTTATATATATTCACATCACGGTATTGATAGTCCTTAAAAGTACTAATTTATGATATAAACAATGTTTATAAATGATAAAACTTTTGTTTTCAAATGAAAGTATTTTCATAAAGGTAATATAAATTTTAAAAAGAATGGTTTTTATCATCTTTATTAACAGTACTTTTTGATTCTTTATTTTTCTTTATTGGAACATAATTTTTATAGAGAAAATATATATTAGTAAATATAGATAATTGAAAAAATATAATCTTGATATTCATATATTTATAGATTATTCAAGTATCGAATGACAACATATATTTTTGAATAAAATATATTAAAATAGTTCCAACGCTCTAAATGATTTGAAAAAAAGGTATGAATACCTTATTTGTTTTTAAAACTTATTTAAAAAACTATCTATTATTTCAAAAGGTTGCACACGCACCACATCGGTTCGTACTATTTTTCGTTCATTTTTCATTAAAAAGGGGACATTGATACACATTCCAATCAACATGAGCTGATGAGCATAAATGCATATTATCATTTTTAGCTTTGTTCATATATAATTGTTCTTTATAATGTTTTAAGATTCAAATTGGTTTGTATTTGAAATAAAAAATAAAAAAAGCATATACTTTCTCTATCTAAAGTTAAACATTTGTGTTTTTATAAATTTGGATGAAAAGTACTATTGTTTATTCGCTATTGATGGGTATAACCCATTGGTACCACCCAGTAAGTTCACAGGCTCCCGAGAGGTATCGAAGTATGATCCCCACTTGACCTTATCGACCCCGGTAATCTGATCGGGTGGATGTCAGGGGTCAAACGTGTGGGATCGTGATTTCATTCGCAGAAGGCTTAAAGTCTGACCAGGCTTGACCTCACCGTCTCCGTTAATCTGACTGGGTGGATGTTGGGGGTCAGTCTCGTAAGATCATGACTTGAAGATTGCCCGGGTGGAGGACTTGAAGACTGGTCGGCTTAAAGACTGCCCGAGTGGATGACTTGAAGACTGGTCGGCTTGAAGACTACCCGAGTGGATGACTTGAAGACTAGCCGGCTTGAAGACTGCCCGGGTGGATGACTTGAAGACTGGCCGGCTTCACTACAAGAAAATTGTCAATTTGCAACGGACAATTTCCGTGGCAGATTTTGAAATTTCGTGGCAGATTAGCAATCTGCGACAGAACTGCAACGAATATTTTCCGTCGCAGAAAAGTTGTGGCAGATTGAAAATCTGCGATGGAAATAAGATTCCGTGGCAGATCTGCCACGGACCTGCAACGGGTACCTTCGTCTTTTGCACCCCAAACATCTGCGACGGAAGTATTGAAACCATCGCAGATCTGCGACGGAAATAGCGACGGGGATGTCCGTCGCAGACAACTTGATCACAGCACCAGCATTTTCTGTTTTTTCTGTTTTAGGCGGTAGCAGGGGCAACACATTCAAATTTCACACGCATAATTCTAAACAAAATTTCAATACGGAATAAATAATTCAAAACAAGATTAATTAAACCTTCACGTGCAAATGTAACATAATTCATAATCTTGTAAAAACACGAAATACTAAAGTGCTTGTTTCAAATGTCAAAGATGTCAACAAATCCCGGGCTGTCCCGCCCCTCCCATTCCATCGTCATCGCCTCGTGGAGGAAGATTACCACCATATAACTTCCTTATTTCCTCCTGAATCGTCAGCGACAAGTTTGAGGTTAGATTATCAAGTTGTTCCTGCAGCCTTTGGTTTTGTTCTTTAAGTGATGTCATCTCCGCCGCGCTGCTGCTACTAGTGCTGGAACGGCAAAAATTAAACACAAATACCTACGGCAAAGATGCAGAGGATGTCCGGCGGGGAAGAGAAACGGCTGGCCGGCGTCAACGACGGGTGGCGACGGCTGGTGGGCGGCGCAGGTGGAGCGGCTGGAGATGACGGCGCGGCTGGGGAAGACGGCGTGGCTGGCGGGGCTGGGCGGGACGGCGTGGCTGGCGAGAACGTTCGTCGGCGGCGAGGAAGGGCGTTGAAGGCTGGCGGAGGAGTGACGTTCGCAGGACTGCTGACCGGGAGAGAGACGGGATAGGATTGAAGTGAAAGACGAATGGCTGGGAAAATTTCAATATCGATTATCACTTCAAAAGCTGCGACGGATCGGCGACTGATATATACCTCCGTCGCACATTATCAGGTCAAAAATTGACCAACTTAAATTTGCGACAGGCACAAATAATTTGTCGCTAATTTGCGACGGAAAAATAAAGTCTGTCGCAGATTATGTTTTTTTTCAAGGATTTCAAATCCGTCGCTGATTCGTTGCAGATCTGCTACGGAAATGAGTCTGTAGCAGATTTCCGTTGCAGACGAGACAAATTCTTGTAGTGCTTGAAGACTGCCCGGGTGGATGGCTTAAGATGAATAGTAGTGCTGAACAGTGTATTTTCTATTATTATAAATAGGAGTGAAAACCTCATAAAGAAGGAGGCAATTTATAATCCACACAGCTCGTAAACTTGTAATTGGTTCATACATTATTAATAACTACCCGGGTTACATATGTTCACACCTACGACCCTTTTCCTTTTCGTGACTTAATATTACGTTGGTTTTACACCATCAAATTGGCGCCACCCGTGGGACTTGTTTACAAAAAGAAGTCATGACGAACAACAATATGGAATCCATTTTCCCAAATTTCCACCCCAGCGGAGGGCGTTGCCCTGATCCCGGGAGAAATCACATCATTACCTTCTCTTTTCTCCCTCATGATCACCACCTTCACTACTCAAACAACGCCCAGTTAGACCCTCCAAAACTTTGGACAATTTTTGCCCATATTCTAAAAACCTGGGTGATTTACTCTTTCCATCCCTGGGATGTATCTCCATGATCTGCTTAAAATACGTCTCTTGCCAGCACACTGGGGCATCCTCCGCCATTTCAACCGGCCAGTACCACCCGGTCGGTCATCCCGACAAATCTTATCGGGGAGCTGGAAATGGCAGGTCTTTCTCGGTCCAAGAGGAGGAGATCCCACAAGCTCCCCACTCAGGTCACACCCGACAGGGACCTGCGCTCTGTACGCAGTAGGGACGAAGACTGGGATATTCTCAGGGACCATAAAAAAGCTGCAGGGCAAAGCCGTCCAGTCAGAAGGTTCACGACGGTCAGCGTTCCAGCGGCTGGGACACGAGGGGCAAAACCAGAACCGACCGGCCAAAGAGCGGTTGGGGGTGAAGGTTCCCCAGCCAGGCGCATTCTATAGACTAGGAGGTGGTAGGCGACTCGGTCGGATCGGACGCTCTGACCCTCGTCTCTGTGATGACCCTCGTCACTAGACCTTTTGTTCATCCACAACATTATATTAGATGAAATCCCTAATGCATGATTATCATATTTAAAAAGTAAATTCCATAAACGATTTCAATTGCAGGTGGTTTTCTATATTTAGTCACCAATTCTTAGGTATTCCATAAAAAGTTCTCAATCTTGGAAAATTATTTTATAAATAATTCTTTAGACCAAATATGAGAAAATATTTTTTCACAAATAGTCCCTGAATTGGAAGGACTGATTATGGAATAATTTTCAAAAATTGAGAACTATTTATAAAATATCTATGAATTGTGCACTAAATATGAAAAGCCACTTGTAATTAGACTATAATTAGGAATCATTTATGAAACTTATTCAAATTTAAATTAGAGTTTATGCGTATACATTTCTTTGATGTTTCATAAGTGGGTAAATACTTGATCTTTTAAAAGTTGTCAAATAGTTTCTGTGGTCAAATAACTATAGCATAATTAGTCTCTATTTTAGAAAATTCGTTAAATGTACAGAACACGCGTGTATTATGCAAAGACGTCAATCATGTAACAGGAAAAAAAGCAAGTATGAAATTTCAATTGTGATGTGTAACTTTGAACCATAGTACAATATCTTCTATATTTTAGTGTGCCTATGTTTTGTCTGCTTTACGTTTTGCTTAAAGAAGAACTAATTTTGCATCAGTTCTTTGACAACATAAATAATGTTGTTACTTTTAAAAGTACATGAATTATTTAATCATTTAGAGATGGATTATTTATAAGAGAAGGGTTTTTTTTAAGAAGGGGATCCAAATTGTAAGAAAACGAAACTTTGGATAACCTCCAATCCTGATAAAGAAACAAATGGGCGCTCCAAGCTTCCGATAAAATCTAATGGCTCGACGAAGCATCCACACGACGGAGCTAGGCTGCATCGCCTGCGACGATCTATCATACCTCGGTGCCGGCAAGGAGGGTTGGCTCGTCGGAAACCCTAATCTCCTCACTGCCCTCGATACTCATTCCATCGCATTGGCTAACCGCTCAATTATCCTCCTCATCCACTGGCTCGGCGGCGGCGATGCGGACTCCAAGATCGTGCCCGACCTCTCTCCGATCGAACCCGAGTACATCTCCGCTCTGGAATGGTTAGTGTTTGGTGATATCAAAGTAATTGCGGTCGGTACCTCTTGTGGGTCTTTGCTGATTTACTCTCTCCGCGGAGATCTCATTCACAAACAGGTACAGTAATTCAAGTTTTCCATTGTGTTTGGATATTGGTATTTGTGTAACCGTGTGAGCTGATGGTATGGCTAAGGTCTGCGTAAATCCTTAAACTTTGGTTTTTTTTAAAAAGGACTTCTATTCTCATCTGTACATTGCTCGGTCTTATTGGTAAAAAATGCTACTGTAGCCGTGTCTTAAAGGGTATATATTTTTGGTTGGATAATTGGATGATATAGTTGGGGGAAGTATCCAGTGTGAATTTTTGAACAATAAATTTCTTTTATTTCACTGTTTATATGAAAGTTCTCGATAAATATTTAGAAAACTTAAGTCTTTGAATCACAATAGGTTGTATTTTGCAAAACTTTGTTTGTTTGTTTTTTTGGCTAGTGAAGAGGACTTCTCGTATCCATTTGATAGACAAGGGAAGATTATTTTGCTTATGGGTATTTGGTAGAATAAGTTGCTTTTGACTTGGATCCATTTAGGAAATTTAAATTTTTGAATCACAATAGGTTGTGTTTTGCAAAACTTTGTTTGCTTATTTTTTAGCTAGTGATTGGGAATTCTTGGTCATGGTTCCAATAGAAATTTTTCTAGGATCCATTTGATAGACAAAGGTAGATTATTTTGCCTATGGTTATTTGGAAAAATAAGTTGCTTTTGACTTGGAAGAAATGAATGTTTCTAAAAGTTCTTCCTTTGAGAGAATTCAGCAGATTCATCCATTTTAGCCAAATGAGACCTTAATATCCCCAAATTATATTCCCTCTTAGTGTATGTGTCATGACTTAATGTATAGAGATAACCATATATTTCCTTTTGCAGTTAGTACACACTGGAAGGATCTTTAAATTGAGGGTTCGCGGAACTAAGAGAGACCAGATGCAAGAGACTTCGTTAGAGGAAGTCTGTGTTGTTATGCCGGGCACTGTTGCCCGCTTTGAGGGATCTGATATTCAGGTACAATTTTCTGTAGCAGGTCTCGTTTCTTGAAATTTTCCATCAATGGCCCCTATTACTGTTTCGTGCTTGAACACCAGCTTCAAGGGTATCCTGCCCTTACTAGTTTACTTGGTGCTTATAAATAACAAAATGCAGAGAATGCTTGAAAGATGGTTTCAAGAAAGGTACTCTGGGTCATGGGATTATCCAAATAACAGAGGTTCAGATGATTATGGGGATTTTTTTGGAAGGCTTCCCTACCAGTTATGGAATGTTAACAAATATGGATCCTGTGTTGATGCTGCTATCACAGGTGTAATGCCCCCTCCGCTCATGGAACTCCAGGTAATGCATTTCTTTCCTTTTTGTAACTAATATTAAATCTATAAATTTTTGTCTTCTCTTTTCATGGGATTTATAGGGTTAGGGCATGTTTGGTCACGGAAAATGGAAGGGAAAAGACAACATTCCAAGGAAATCTAATCTCTTATGTTTTAAGGTTTTGGAATCTGCCTCTCTACTTTAGAGTAGGGGTGGGACCTGCGTACACACACCCTAGACCCTACTTTAGTGACATTCTATTGGGTTGTTGTTTATGTTTTAGTGTTTGAGTTTTTATGGGATAATGTAAAGGAATATGTTTTTTTAGTGTATTCAATATCTTATTCATTATATGGTAGATAATAGAAATAAATAAAGAAGATGAGTTTGGGTAGATATTTGACCTAAATTTATTGAGTCTATCCTCTATAGTCTCTCCTAAAATTTCTTTCCATCTGTTTTCATCCCTATCTTCCTTTCATAGTATTTTCCTCTTCCAAGCAGGCCCATAAAAGGTTTGATCGGAAGTCTGAAACTTCTAGTTAAAGATTTTGAGTTCTATACCTATTTCTTGTTTCCCCATTTATTGATGTGAAAACTTTCTGAATTTAATCTGGTATTTGAATTCAGCTGCTTTTATTGTTGGGCAGTCAAGTCAGCATTATTACTGTGCAGTCACCGTGGGAGATAATGCTGTGATTTCTGCATATAGGTTAGTTTTGTAATTTTTTTGTGTTGTTTCTATTTTTTATTAAAGAAATGCCATGGTATAATTTTATTCCGAAAATTCAAGACTTTCAGTGGATAAAAGCCGATCAATTGTGGGGGCTATTCTGTCTAAAGTAGTACCTGCAACATTTTCAACAATAACTTCTATCTCGAGATTGTTTTGGCGAAGTGAGCCAACACCCACAAGAAAACCAGAACCAAAACCTCAACCTTTTGCTCGAGGTGATATGATGCTTTCTTTTCTTGTAGAAGCACTTCTCTTCATCTCCTCAATGGTATGAATTTATTTGCATTATGTCACATTGATGATAAATTTTATGCTCCCTCCACCTCATTGGGGTTTTCCAACTTCCATTAACACGGAGGAGATTGGAGAAGTGTATGTTGAGTTTTGTTTGAATTTTATACTCCCTCCGTCCCAATAACAAATTCTCTGCTACTATTCCGGGGTCACTATACCTTTTGACTTTTGCTACTTATGCATTTTTAGTGATCATTTGATAATATAACATAGTTGTGTCACCTCTTATTTTGTAGAGTTTTCGATGTAGTTTTTTAAACAAATGAAATGAATTAAAAAGAACATTTTACCTTGTAAACTGCAATACGTATTTCCTTTACGAACAGAGGGAGTAGACCACAGTTTTTTTGTAAAAGAAAACTGTTTTTTTTCTGTGTCACCCCCAAAAGGAAAGATGGAAAGTCCAGTGGGACGAGGGAGTATATAATTAGGGCAGCTTTGGTAAATTTATGTTTTGTGTTCTCTGTACTAAAAACATTGTTTATAGTCTTTTCTCTCTCTCTCTCTCTATACATAATTAAAGGTCTAAATTCTAAGCGCTTGGCACATCTGTTCTGTATATGTGATTTATATTGTTATGGCTAAAATATGTGGTTTCATTAAAAAATATTAAATGTTTTATAAATAGTCTCTCAATCGGCAACCTGTATCTTATAGGTAAGTTCACTCAATGTTATTATTAACAAAATGAATTTACATCGGTGTGGCAGCTTCTCCTTTAACATGTTTGAAGGATCATCCCAGAAAGGGCGAAAAGCTCACATTATCACCAAGTGGAACTTTGGCTGCAATAACCGATTCCCTCGGTCGTATCTTACTCTTGGACACTCAGGCTCTTGTTGTAGTCAGATTATGGAAGGTATGTGTCCCTTTAGCACACCATATATGGTTTTTTTTATTACATCGCAAGTTCTTGTAAACACTCTCCCTACTGCCAAAGTGCCGAGTAAGGGTAAGATACGACCGAACACACACCATAGAGCCTAGACCCTACTTTTTTGTGGGATTTCACGGAATTTGTTGGTTTACAGTGAAAGACATGAATGAATGAACTTGTTCGTCTTTTTTAGGGATATCGCGACGCCAGCTGCTTGTTTGTGGAGATGCTTGTCAACAAAGATCCTTCACCACAATGCGAATATATTAAGAGTGATTACTCCTTATGTCTTGCAATCCATGCACCGCGTAAAGGGATAGTAGAGGTAATTATTCATTTATTCGTGATTGTGTTCGTTTGAATATGCTCTTTTAAACCAAACCCTTTCTGTTGTGTTGTAAGGTTGATTGGTTGCGTGTTGTTTGTAAAACTTTTGATATTTTTTTTTATAAAAAATATATACGGAGTAACATATCCGGAGTAAAATGGGCTTCTTTGCAGATTTGGCAGATGCGAACTGGGCCTCGTCTTCAAACCATTCCGTGCCCGAAAGGCAGCAAAATGTTGCAACCGACGTATAGGTTCAGGTCATCGGACGCACCATGGTCGTCTTCATATGTACCTTTACAAGTTTTCTTTTTGAATGGAGACTCTGGTCAGCTATCTGTTCTTAACCCATCTCTTCATCAAACCACTGCCAGCTGATTTGTATTATTTCAAAAAAAAAAGAATCACATTTCCTTTGTTAGTGTTCTATTTATATTTATATTTATATTTATGCATACAAATATTGAGAGTGTATATTTGTTCTTGTTCGTCTATTGGATGATCTACGTGACGAAGATTAAGAAAGGAAAAATTGATCCCTTAATGTTTTATGAAGTAACTTGTTTTTAATTCTTAGCTTGATATTTTATTTTTTTAATCCACTAGCAGTGTTTCAAGAATATTATTGTTAAAAAAATATAATGTTAATAAATACTCCGTAGTTTTTTTGTGAAAATTATTTTTATTATTAATTTGACAAGTTTTGTTTTTTAATTCGTCGGATCTCAAAAATACTTCTAAATAAAGTTGCACGTCAAAATATCAAATATTTTGATTCCAAACATTATAGGGAGTACTTCAAAAAGAAGTTTAAATAGTTTCAAATTAAATGCTCAATTTTGATAATGAAGGGAACAAATAAGTGGTGCATAATAAGTACTCCATATTAAAACTCATACAAAAAAACATTGACGATGTAAACATATTTTTCACATTTCGGATTTATTGATCCGTCTCAAAACCATATAATTTTAAACAAATTCAGAAATAATATTGTATAATCAAATAATTCTGAGAAAATTATTTTCAACAATTTTTTAATTCATTTTTACTTTGGTGTGATGGATTGGATATGTTTCACAACGATTTTCATAACCATTTATATTCATGGTAGGTGTACTCCAAAGATTGTATTTTAAAATTTTTACATTTATATTTTGATATTTGACATTGACACAAAATGTCATTATGCTTGTAGTATTTCGTAATAACATTTCGTGTTAATGTCTCGCACCTACAGGCGTGTTTGGAAAAAGCGCTAGAGGTTAGCGTTACAGACAATGCTGCACCGTCCTTGACGCTAATCAAAACGCTATTCCGAAACGGGTCCTACATTGATAGTAAATTTTTGGATTATAATTTGGGATTCAATATTTGAGGTAGCAATAGAATTACGGTAAGTCTAAAATGACACCAGTGCCACTGGTGTCATTTGCTTACACTAGTTCGTTTGGGGTATCTACGGTGCCCCGTTTGTAAAATCGACGGTTCCTACCCCCCTAACCCTTCCCCTAAACCTCCCAAACGGGTTAGGGGTAGGAACCGTCGTTTTTACAAACGGAGTACCATAAATACCCCAAAGGGAGTGGTGTAATATAAGTAAATGGTGTCATCTAGTAAAATTTAGGAAAATGCTAGAGTCACAAACAAATAGTTCACAAACTTCACAAACTTGCCTTTTTTGGATTTTAAATTAAAATATCTTTTATTATTTGAGTGCATCTTATTTCTAGGAAAATGTTAAAAAGGCAAGTTTGTGATTTTTGTGAACTATTTGTTTGTGACTCTAGCATTACTCTAAAATTTACTCCCTACTTTTGATCCAATGGTCAGTCACTATCTGTGCGTTCACTGATCTGTGAGATTCAGCGAGGAAGAAGATCGAGTGAAAATAACTGCTGTGGGTTTGGCTTTCAATTCAACCTCTGGAACTGAAATGGGGTTCTCTGTGTTATCGCCTCCAAGGTCAGCAAACCCACAACCATTTTCTACCCGCTTTCTCTTTCGTGATAGTATTATTTCTCAGCAAATTTCAAGAATTGCGCCTCCGTCTCCTTGCAGTGGATGTACCCATGGCTGCGTGAGTCACGGTCTGGGCAGGAACTCGCCAAGCTTGTTTTTGAAATTAGGGTTCATCCCTAATGGGCCGGGCACAGATCGGACCTCCGGCAAACCCGCAATGCTCATACGGGCTTGCTCATCCTCTTCTCTTCCAGGTTCCTTTCTTTCGTTTATTTCCCGAAATTGGTCGAACTTTTCTTGGCTTCTTTATGTTTTTAGAGCAGCGAACTGTGAATTGTGTGATTATCCATTGCTGAAATGCCCAAAGCTCGTGCGTGCTCTCGAGAGTTGATTAATTAGAGGGTGTTTGGGGTTGTGTTTGAAAACAGCTTTTGAGCTCGTCTTTTGTTAAATTTGCAATCTGGTATTATTTATAGCTTATGGCTCCAGAAGTGTTTTTTTTCCAGTAAAGATAAGACAGATAGCTTATGGCTTAGGAAGGCTAAAATGAGCTCTACAAGGGCTTTTTTCAGCAATGCTGGGACTTAAAACTGTTGCCTTTTGCAGGAATCTACCACAAGCATTCTCTTAGTAGGTTTTAATGTTTTTGGTATGGGTGGAAGTTAAGAAATGAAGTACTGCCATGATCTCGAGTAGAATCAGAATCTCATGGATCAAGAGATAATTTTTATATCAAATATTTGCATTTACAATACAAATTTGCATCAAGAATGAAGGATAATCTTACCCAAAGCCCTTCACTCATTAACGAAGAATAACTGATACACTTAATCAGCCATTTTGCATCCTTAAACGGGTGCATGGTGATGAGTTGGGATAGTTTCTATGGTCGTGTCTATTTCAAAAATTGATATTGTAAAATCGACACGTGCATCATGGAATATGACCCTGCATATATCTCTTCCTATAAATCAGGAAACCAGAACGAATCTGCGTGGGAAAAAAATCTTGATTTGGAGTTTGCTTAGTCTTTTGGCCTTTTTTAAGCATTAAAAAAAGCTGCATGGTGTATTCTAATTTCTAAATTGGATTTCTCAACAAGCGTGTAATTATTAACTTTCTCCAGAGCCACTTCTGGTGAGGGCTGCAAGAGGAGAACGTGTTAGTCGCCCTCCAGCTTGGATGATGCGTCAAGCAGGAAGGTATATGGCTGTTTACAGAAAACTTGCAGAGAAACACCCGTCTTTCAGAGAGAGGTCAGAGACAACTGATCTCATTGTGGAAATTTCCTTGCAGCCTTGGGAAGCTTTTCATCCCGATGGAGTTATCATTTTCTCTGACATATTGACCCCACTTCCCGCATTTGGGGTCCAGTTTGACATCGAAGAAGCCCGGGGCCCGATTGTCCATTCTCCCATTCGTTCTGAGGAAGGATTGATGGCATTGCACTCTATTGATTTGGAAAAAGTACAGTTTGTAGGGAACTCCCTAAAGATTTTGCGGAAAGAGGTAAAGTATTTAACTTTCTTGATTTATTTTATAAATATAATCATTTTTTTTCTTTCTATTTTGCCTTGTCAATGAATACTTTAAAGAAATGAACATAAACGTGATACTCTGTATTTATTAGGGGAAAATGATATAACTCATAGTGAATATGTCATAGATTAGACAAATGTTTTATAAAAATAGGGGCATTGACTTCTTTAAAATGACTTTATGATAAAGAGTGGAAGGAGTATTTTTCATTGACTTTAAGGTTTCTCAAGAACAACAAACCTAGTAAAATCCCAAAAAAGTAGGCTCTGGGGAGGACGTGTGTATGCAAACCTAGCCATTACCATGAAGTAGAGATGCCATGAGACATTGTTGTACATTACCAACATTTAAAAAGTTTTTACTTGATGAGACTTGGCATTTATTAAGCTTGGAGGGAGGGAGTCTTATATAACCTCTCTTTCATTTGGTATGCTGCGTTGAACTTTTACAAGACAACTAAGTTGGTCTCTTCCTCTTTGACTCTAAGGTTGGGGAGAAAGCGGCAGTTTTGGGTTTTGTGGGAGCTCCTTGGACTATAGCTACATACATTGTTGAAGGAGGAACTACCCACACTTTCACAACGATAAAGAGCATGTGCCATTCCGCTCCACATGTGCTGAAAGCTCTTTTGTCCCATTTGGCTAAGGGAATCGCCGAATATATCATTTTCCAAGTTCAATCCGGAGCTCATTGCGTACAGATATTTGATTCATGGGGTGGACAATTGCCCCCTCATATGTGGGAAACTTGGTCTAAACCTTACATTGATGAGGTAATCTTTTGCTCATCTTTTCATTTCGTGGAGCATCTTTTCATTCCTGGTTTTAATAGTCACTTCTGATCTGTTATGGCATATTTGGATCCTGGAAAATGCTAGGGAATGTAAACATAATTATAAAGAGAGTTATAAAACGTAATGTTTGGATCCCGGAAAGTGCAACAAGAAGAGTCATATTTGATCAAAGAGAGTTACTTTTCGTATAATTCACCAAAAGAGTCCTTAACTAGTAACTACACATGATAAATTTAGTTAAAGCCACAAATAACTTTAAAACTACAACTAGAAGTAATGGTTTAAAGCATTTGCAACCTAACCAATTCTAAAAAGTTGTACCTTGGTCAACTTGGACTTCTTTTTTTGTTCTTTGAAAACCTATGAAGAGTTTTGGAAGCAGATAGTACGTACAGTGAAGGGGAAGTGCCCAGAAACACCGCTTGTACTATACATTAATGGAAACGGTGGGCTCATTGAGAGGATGAAAGCTACTGGAGTTGATGTCATTGGACTTGACTGGACTGTAGACATGGCAGATGGAAGGAAGCGGCTCGGAAGTGATGTCAGCGTACAAGGAAATGTTGATCCCGCTTCCTTGTTCTCTCCTCTCTCAGCTTTGACCAACGAAGTCAACAGGTTTGTTACACAACTCTGTAGTGTTTGTGCCTGTCTTGGCAACTAGACTTACTTAATGACAACGTTGAGCTCAAGCCATGTCAAAGTTAATCTGCACCATTAAAAAACAATCTGAAACACAGAGTGAATAAGCTCTTCCCAAACTAGGCCTTTGTTGTGTATCGTCGATATTAGTGTCATTGATCTATTTATATGCTACACCACCACCACCACCAAGAGCCCAGTACTTGACAAGTGGGATCTGAGGAAGGGTAGGTGTACGCAGCCATTGCGGCATTGCCCCTAGAGAGGTCGTTTAAGATGTGTGGGGCCGAATGTAGGGCATTATATGTTTTGAAAGAGATTGTTGATAGCACAACTTTTCACAGGGTTGTAAGGTCGGCGGGGACTAAAGGTCATATCCTAAATCTAGGGCACGGAGTGCTCGTGGGCACGCCCGAGGAAGCCGTTGCTCATTTCTTTGAAGTTGCAAGAGGTTTCAATTTTTCATCCAATTGATATGACCAAGTAGCCTAAACTCTCATCTCAGAACTGAGACCATTCTTGAGGAGGAAATACATATATTGTCAATTTAGTGGCTTTGCACTGCCTATTCCTTTTTAAGTTGGTTGTTTTTACATTCTTGCATGTTAGCAATTGATGAGAAAGCCAAATACATAGTAATGAATGTGTCCATTCTTTTTGGCTGTGTAATTTATCAAACAATGCTGTAAAATTACTTTTCTTCCTTAAAATTTAAATCACAAAGTCCACTAAATTTGGGGGGTGAAATTGATGGGGTTGGGGGTGGGTTTGGGTCGGGTTGGAGTAAAGGGGTTTACTGGAGTCATTAGAGGAATATGAACCATCAATTTTATGAATGTAGCTTCGATTGGAACATTGTCATATTATGACAACATCGTTTGTAGTTAAAAGAATGTGACTCAATCAATTACCGAGTACTAGCGTCTCAAAATCACACAAAAAAAACACAAAACAAAAATCTCAAGAATGGTAAACTTTTTCTACCACAGATTAAAAGAGAAAAAGAAAGTTTTGTTTTTTTTGTTTTGTTTTGTTGGGGAAGAAAGGAATATAACTCTTCCACAAGGGAGGGGTCGTTTGGATTTGAATTTAAGGTATCTAATTCTTTGATAAATGCATTGTTTGACAGATGATGAAAAGTGGGAAATGACATTATGATGATTCAAAAAAGAAGTGGCAAATGGTTAGATAGATAGGATGTTTCTCACTCCCACTTGTAATTATAAGCCACATAATTGTTCATATTTAGGAGGTACTCTAATATTTTAAATCCGAATATTATGGTTTTTTTGTACATGAAAAAAATAAACAAAGACATATGGCGTGTTTGGATATTGGCGGATCGGCTAGCTTTTAGCAATTTGACCAAGAACAGTTGATGTAGGTCTTTAATTAATTGTTTGGCAAATAGCTGTTTTGCCTAGCAGATGGGATCGAACAACCAATAATCCAAATGCTGGGATGAGTAGCATTTTGATTTAGAAGTTCACTTTTTTCCTTTTTTTTCATGCCCTAAATAATTTTTTATTATTATTTACTTGATGTATGGAGTATTAAGAAAGGGTTTACATACGGAGTATACATGATTAGTTTTGAATGCTATTTTTCTTTATTTTTAAAAAACTTTGTAAAACTAGCAAAAATTTTTCCTTTTTTTCTTTATTATGTACTCTCGATAATTATTTTTTTTATTTATTTTGTTTGTTTATTTTTATTTATTTTTTTAAATTTGGCGCAGGTTTTTTTTCTTTTCTCTAACTATATGCTCTCAGTGATTTTTTTGGTATATTGCTACGCAATATATTTGCTCAGCATTTATTCTCATATATAGAGTTTGTTTTTATTAAGATCCAAAAAATTAACTAATTATAAAAAAAATATTATTTTGTAATTAACACATTAGGAGGTATGTCCAAAAATGTAATTTACATCATAAACAGCTGTTTGTGAACAGATATGTTTGCCAAACATTTTTTCGCTAACAACTAATACAATCCGCCAGTCAAAACAGCCAATTCAATCAATCATTCAAACTAGCCAACACAAACCGCCAACAGCCAAAGGCTGTTTTCCAAACAAGGCCATAGTTTATGTTTATATTTATTTATTTTTTATTTATTATATAAAAAAATCATAATAATCAATTACAAGAAAATAGAGATTACATATTTAGTTCCTCTCAAGTCTCATCATGCCCCATTGATTTTGCCACAACTCAACACAAAAGTCTTTGCCACCTTCTTTATTTAGTGCATAATTATTCGTTAGTTATTAGTCCAACAAAGTTTTGCTCACTTGTCATATACTCCCTAGTTCACAATAAATAAAAATAGTTGCCAAATTCTTCCTTTTTCCAAATCCACACCTTATATCAAAAAATGGACAAATTTATCATATCAATTTGTTTCATGAAATCGTCTTAAATCAATCATTAAACTTTTAAAATATGCGAGTAATCCTCATAATTAAAAACCTTTCATTAATTATGGGCCAACAATTAAATGTATGAGCTTTTGGTTGATTTTTTTTCATGACATCTTATTAATTTTTTGTAATTTAAGAAATCACTTGTTCGAAACTCACAACCACGTCACGCTTTGAGTTTTATTTTTCTAAATTAAAATTTTACTTATAAGACTCAAAACGACAACGTTTAATTTGCACATGAGATCAATAATGTGTTAGAATATAAAATTTTTGCTACATCTTACAACTATATATTTAGAAAAAGTGGACTCCTTTTTATGAGAGGGAAGGTGTTTGTACTATATATTCATTTGAGACAAAGTACTTTAATTTCTTTATAAAAATGGTTGCTTGTAAAAATAAACAAATAGTAAAATATGCCCAAACATGTTGCATTTCATTTTCGAATGTAGATGGTGTGTTATCACTATTCACTAACAAAGAATTGAAAAAAGTGGTAATTAGCATAATGGAACATTATTAGATAAGGCAACATTAACATTATAATACTAATCATCTAATATGGTTCCTTTTTTTGCATAGTTCTTTAATAAAAAGATGAGTCCTATTCCCGACTCCCGAGAGCCTCTTTAGACTCGATCGGTCAATCACTGAAAGGATGTAAATTGGATTTTGATCGCAGATTGGTGACAAAGAGTAGAGCTTGCACATTGTTTAGCATAGTAGTCTCCCAGTGCAGTTGACTGGAATCAAACTCGGGTCTTACCTCTTAACACTCATTGCATTGTCAACTGCGCAACGCACACCAGGTGCATAGTGCTTTAATAAAGTGGTATGTGAAGTTGGCTTGACATCTTATGGTATGATGTGTGTGGGTATATTTATGTGGCAGAAGATCATAGTATAATGCCAAATATGCCCTGTACAGAATAAGACAAAAAGAGTGACTAGGTTCATTCATATCTCTCAAAAAAAAGATTAAGAAATGATGGGAAATGAAATGAGATCATATCACTATTCATTCATGCGCAAAGCAAAATGGAGTGGCAATTTGGGCACCATCTCAATTTTCATACTTCTATTCCTCTCAAATTAATTAAAACTTCATTAAATAAATATATACAGTATTTCGTATTAAAAAGAAAAAATTAGGTGACTAATAAAATTGGTTCAAAACATGTGATATGTGTTAGACTAAGTTATATGTAAAAAAAAAATTAACTGAAAAAAAGTTAAAAATTTAAAATAAAAAAAATTAAAAAAAGAAAAATAAATGAAACTAAAAAAGCAAATGAAGCAACTAGAAAAATAGCCAAGAAACTAAGAAACAAGAAGAAAGAAAAGGAAAAAAAATGCAACATAGAAAGAAACGGAAAGAAGGAGAGAGCGGGAAACCTCCTCATCCCATTCCCGCTAGCTAGGGGAGGGGTCATGGGATCGAAGGGGGTTCCCCTCAGCCCCGCCTAGACACGTCAGCCTTCGCATTCTTATTCCCGTCACATACCGATTGACCTTATAAATTAACGAAAACAACAAATGTGAAAGGTGTTTCCACGTAGTATATATCACTCGTAGTATGTAATATATCATAATTGTAGAATTATTTTAATTAAGGGAAGAATGACAAAATCTAATTTATAAAAAAATTAGACTTACAAAATTTGGATTAATAAAGATTAGATTTAAATACAATAAGATTAGTGGGATAGATATATGTTTAAAGAGTAATTATTACAAGCTAATTAAGGACCCAATGGACACTCAAAAGAAAGTACCGGAGTATGAAAGAATACTCTATCACTCTGTCTGCAAAGGTGAAGCCAGTAGCCTCTTTGTAACGCTTATTATATTCTCAATATTATATTTTGTGTCCCTAGCTATAGCTAATAATGTGATATATATATATATATATATATATATATATGT